ACTGCAGAATATTTTTTTCTGCTTACAGGGTATGGAAGTTAAGCAGATGCCTTACTACAGTTTCCATGCTTTTTGGTGCATAGGCAGATTGGTCAGCACCCTGCTTCTTCGTTTGAGCTGAAGGTTTTTTTTTTTTAAAGAAATTCACTTAATTACACAGGGCCTCTTGGGAAGGAGATATACAACTACACTAAGACTTTGTAATATGCTAGCCTTTGTATTTTGCTTGGGACTTCCAAAGCAATTCTCACAACCCACAGGGCTCCATCTTGACCCCCCCCCCCATTGCCATTTAGCACTGACAGCACGCCACTAGGAGAGGCTGCTTGGAGATCAGAATCAGCATTACGCTGATAACATTTCTATTACAATGAACATGCTCGTTTTTTAGGTGCCAAAAGACTCCTTTTAGGTTTTGCCGCAGCTGACTAATATGAGTATTCCAATGTGGTTAGGGTCAGGGTTACACCCAACTCTTATTTCCATCAGGGTCAAGGGATGCAGTGGAAACCCCAAACCAGTTGTCGGACGGTGAAGGGGTGAATGTAGGCAAACTGAAACTTCATTCAGAAAACAGTGAGGTGCTGTGAATAAGAAGAAAATACCACTTGGAGAATAGACGCACACACTCTTCTGAATGGTGTTGTACTCCCCACTCCCTAAAACACAGGCATGCGGGGGGATTGGGTCTCCTGGACTTTCCCTGAAAAGAGATGTCTTGAAGGTAAAGGCCTTGATAGTACACCTCCACCTGTATGAACCAAAGGTGAGCTGACGGAAGGGGCTTTTTTGGTTTGCGAGTTTTGGGTGCCTGACGAAGAGCCTCTTTAGCTGGGCAGCTATGTATGTATATTTTTTCATAAGCTGTTTGGGCGTTCTTAGGGAGTGGAAACGTGGAACGTATATTTGTAAAACTAAATATTCTGCTGCTGCACATCAACCCTGTAAGGTAGGCCAGAACACTTATACTTCCAAGCAAAATTTTTAAATAGCTTTAACTTATCCATTGCCACGTTACCTGAAACTTGGCCAGATTGTACCCTGTACATTCTCTGTGCCAAATTTCAGACAAGTAAGCCAAAATATTTTGATCGTATCGTCAACAGAATTCTAAGGCTGCATAATGGCAGAAGCCTTAACTATCCAACAGCTCCCATAACTGTACTATTGACTCTCCCACTGCATGGCACTTTCCGCAACTAGGGCTGTAGCACAACTGCTTAAGTACACCAACGTCCTCTCAACAGTCAAAAAAGGCAGAGGCCATACCTTCCAGTTGGGCCCCAAAGGGCCACGACCTGTCTTGATGGATTTAAATTTTGCAGGGTCTTCTTCTGGCTTGTAATCCTGGGGCAGACAGAAACAGGAAGGCGGTTACAATGAGACAATTCCTTTTTGGTGGGCTTTATTCCAGGGTGTCCACCATCAGCCTCTATTCCAGGATATTTTACCCTTAAAATGGCTGAAAGACCAATCTCATCATTGCCTTGCATTTGAATCCAATGCCGCTAAGCCAAAAGCACCCACCCACAAAACCCGTTTTCCATCCTTCTGTTGCAGCATTAAATACTGCGACGGCCAACTGCAGGGTGCCCCAAGACCCCAAGGCTCCCAGTATATTCGGAAACAGGAAGGACTCCCCACCATTTTCCCCACTGGCCATTGTCACTTTATCTTGCGGCTCATGGTTTGGCTGGCTGGCTTGAGCCACCCGCTCTTCTAGCTCCTGCACATGAGACACTATGCTCGTGCCTATGATCTTGCTGGTTGCACAGAGGGCTGACCTCTCTGGGCTCTTCCGCACTGTCATTTTTGTCACGCGTTTGTCCCTATTGCTTTGGGGAGGGGGCCTTTTCCACATGTGTTTTGCTCCCTCTGGGACTACTAGAGAGAGCAAAACACATTGGGGGGGGGCCTCCCGAAGCAATAGGGACAAACGAGTGACAAAAATGACAATGCGGAAGAGCCCTGAGTCACTTTCCAGCCCCAGCAGTGCCGAGGAGCCTTCAAAGCTAACACCTGAAACCCACACACAGAAAACACAAGTGGGGTTCTGAGAAGCACGTGGCCATTCCATGCAGGTGGTCATGCCAGCAACACGGCTGCCCGTAGGGGGAAACTCAAAGAGCCACATCCGCCCCAGTCCTTACAGCCAGAGGTTTCCCAGCTTTGTTAACTAGCCTTGCTCGTGCTGCTGGCCTTCCTAATCCAAGGCCGTCCCCAAGGACATGGCTGGTACCTGGTTGCAGGACGCCATCTCTCCTTCCTCCTCCCGATGCCCAGTAAGCCATCCGCCCTGGAGAGCCCTTTCTCCACAAGGACCCGACCTCAGCAAAGCTCTCACTATCAGGTACCATACCTTCGTAAGCACTTGACTCCGTTCTGCAATGTCTATGTAGACGGCTTCCACGTTCTTCCATTCATTAGGGTCCAGTTTATGTACCTGCAGGCAGAACAAGGGACCACATTTGGCTTTCGGTCTGGACACCCAAACCAACCCAGGACCAACTTGGCACAAATACGCTGACGAGCATGATGAGTTTTTTACCCATAAGACCTTTTAATACACCCAGCATCTGGTCTGTACTGAGCTCTCAGCTTCTTTGTGTGCAATGTTAGCACACCATTTGTAGACCAAGTGGTACGCTAATGCTGCATGCAAAGGAACACAGTTTCAACAAGACTGGGGGGTGCATGCAAGATGACGCAGGTAAGTTCTTCTTGCCCACTGATTTTGCACTGAAATCTGTCTTTAAAGGCTGAAGGGGAACCTAAGGACAGGAAAGGATGCAACTCCCCGCAGTTCTTTTCCTACAGCCACATACGCCAGCTTTTCCACCCAGTGTGGGCACAAGAGATACACTGAGAAATTCAAGAGGCCTACAAAGACCTGATGGACCACATCATAAAAAGCTCCAATGGCTGTCCTGCGCTGACTCTCAAATGTTAACTTGATGCTTATGAGAAACGGGTTTTAGTATGTCAGAGGCCGTGCTGGGGGGCAGGAGGCTCCAACATCTACTCTACTGGGAAAACCATTTGCTCTGCCAAGTTCCTGCAGAATTACATTTGTGCTTGAGCACCCACCCAGCAATGGACCAAGTTTGTTTTGCACTGTGTGCAAAGTAAGAATTCCAGCAGCATTTCTCACAGGGCAGCTGCCAGAACAAGTCAACCCAGGGATTAAGAGAGCTATACAAAAACACGTTTTGTTATCATATTTTGATGCAGAAGCCATTTCAGAACAAATGTTTGGCAAAGAAGTTCTACTGCAGCCACATACAGCTCGGCCTCCAAGACAGGCCACGATCCAGCCGCAGCAGTCCCTGCCAGTGACACTTACATTCTCCTGTGTCCCGAGGTCTGCTTTGTGCCAGGTTTCAATTTTGATTAAAAAGTCATCTTTCATATACTCATTCTGCAAAGAAGAGAAGACCCAGTTATCTTGCGGGGGAGCTAAGAAATGCATATCAGAATACAAATTGGTCGGTGCTATAACCTGACAACAGCTAAGAAAACAATTGCATTCCTTACATCTTCCCTTCTTCTTTCCCACAGTTAGGAAGTAGACAGCACGCTCCCCTGGGAGAGGGACTGGTCCATTTTTGCTTCTGAAACTCTACAAAGTGCCATGTGCATTTAGAGCTCTATATAATACACTCACACGCATCCTAGGTGTGCCCATATTCTAGTGACAACGGGATTCCATGTCCTCAAGAGCATTTCTATGAACTGTGTTCTTACGCTATTTGGCAGGAAGACACAGGGACACCCAGATGTTAACATTTAAATGGTGCACAAGACGATTGTTATAACTGAAATACAAAAAGGGCCACCCTAAAGAAGCAAGAGCCCGTCTCCCACTTTAGACAGGCTTAGGTAGACAGGTAAAGGGTCAAGGTGAAACAGACGGTTATTTTCGAGTTTGGACTACGATGTCCAGATTTCGGCTTTTTGACGCTGGTCAGGCTAATTTAAAGATCTATTTCGTCAATCATAGTGCGCGCATGGCCATGTTGTTTCGTACTAGATGTTATGTACGATATCGGCAAGTAATCATTACGAGATTCATAGGTGAAAAATAAAAATAAAATAAGTCAAAATGTGCAAGTGAAAAAGGGAAAATAAACTAACCTGAGAGCTACGTGAAAAGGGGAAGAAGAAAAAAACGACCACCACCACCCTAACCAACTAAACCTCACCCACCCACCTCCCAATCCGAATTAACAAAGGCGTGAATAATGTCAATAGAATACAAAAAGGCCCAATTTCGCAAACCACGTTATTCTTGTTGGGCGCAAGCCCAGTCTCCGTAACAAACGGTTGTTCAGGATGGGCCACTTCCCTCTGGCCCCCATTGGGAAACCAAAGAAATCCAACTCCTTTGCTCCCGTCAGATGTTTTATTTGATCTTCCAATTTAGCATAGTATTGAGTTTTCTCTTTTGCTGCCTGTATTAGGCCATTCCGTTGATACTCATAACGTACCTTATATCAAGTCACATTACTGGTCCCTCTAGCCTAGTAACATCTGTTCTGACAAGCGAGGGTCTCTGGGGTCACAGGAGAATCACAAGATTATTTGGAGGGCCCCTACCCTGAATTACTCCTTTGTGGCATGACTACTGGCATCTCAGTCATGGCTGCCATGTTTTCTTAAGACACTGCACATACAGAGATGCACATATGCAGTTTCATACAGGAATACACTCGCCAACACACGTGCACTGGAAGCTACAATGAGCAACAGGAAAAAATGTCTTTAAAATATTTATGCGCCTGCCTTCCTCTTAAGCAGCTCAAAGAAAAGTGCACATGCCCTTGATGTGGGGCAGGGAGAATAGGAGGCTTCAATGGCCATTTGGGACAAGCTCTGAAGTGGCCAGAAAATCTCACCCGTAGAAAGAAGGGAATTGGGGCTGGAGGTTACTGAAGGAGGTTTACTTTCTTCTTCAGTTAAAACAAAACCCCTAGAGTAATGCAAAGTGTTTGGAATCTCCATAGACGTTTAAGCTCATTGCCCTTTTCAGAGGTGAGAAACAGATGCCTGTAATCGGTTAAAAGTACGTAAAGTAATTCACCACTGAAACCACCGCAGCGGCTTATGCCAAATCCAGCTGAGAAAGGTGTGTCCCCAGCAGCCTCCAGCCAAAGATAAACACAAAGATAAACACTCTAAACACACACAGGCGACTTCCAAAGAAATCAGTAAAAGCCATACTTACTGTAATAACTGCTCCAAAAGCCGACACATGGAAAGAAAAACACAGCTTTAATGAGAGAGGGAAGGAATTCAGAGATGCAGCAGTATCCCCTCACCCAAAGACAGCAGAGTCAACCCAGGTACCAGCTCTCAAGTGCCCATTTGAAGTCTTTCCTGTAGCCAAACGCAGCTGCACAAAGGGACAAGTGCTTTACTTAGATTAATCCAACCCAAAAGGACAATGGCTTCAGCTGCTAAAAAT